AGTAATGCTGAACTTCTTGTCGGTAGAGTAATGCTGAACTTCCTATCGATAGAGTAATGCTGAACTTCTTGTCGGTAGAGTAATGCTGAACTTCCTATCGATAGAGTAATGCTGAACTTCTTGTCGGTAGAGTAATGCTGAACTTCTGTCGGTAGAGTAATGCTGAACTTCCTGTCGGTAGAGTAATGCTGAACTTCCTATCGATAGAGTAATGCTGAACTTCCTATCGATAGAGTAATGCTGAACTTCTGTCGGTAGAGTAATGCTGAACTTCTTGTCGGTAGAGTAATGCTGAACTTCCTATCGATAGAGTAATGCTGAACTTCTTGTCGGTAGAGTAATGCTGAACTTCCTATCGATAGAGTAATGCTGAACTTCTTGTCGGTAGAGTAATGCTGAACTTCTGTCGGTAGAGTAATGCTGAACTTCCTGTCGGTAGAGTAATGCTGAACTTCTTGTCGGTAGAGTAATGCTGAACTTCCTATCGATAGAGTAATACTGAACTTCCTGTCGGTAGAGTAATGCTGAACTTCTGTCGGTAGAGTAATGCTGAACTTCCTGTCGGTAGAGTAATGCTGAACTTCCTGTCGATAGAATAATGTTGAACATCCTGTCGGTAGAGTAATGCTGAACTTCTGTCGGTAGAGTAATGCTGAACTTCTTGTCGGTAGAGTAATGCTGAACTTCCTATCGATAGAGTAATGCTGAACTTCCTGTCGGTAGAGTAATGCTGAACTTCCTATCGATAGAGTAATGCTGAACTTCCTGTCGGTAAAGTAATGCTGAACTTCCTGTCGGTAGAGTAATGCTGAACTTCCTGTCGATAGAATAATGTTGAACATCCTGTCGGTAGAGTAATGCTGAACTTCTGTCGGTAGAGTAATGCTGAACTTCCTGTCGGTAGAGTAATGCTGAACTTCTTGTCGGTAGAGTAATGCTGAACTTCCTATCGATAGAGTAATGCTGAACTTCCTGTCGGTAGAGTAATGCTGAACTTCCTATCGATAGAGTAATGCTGAACTTCTTGTCGATAGAATAATGTTGAACTTCCTGTCGGTAGAGTAATGCTGAACTTCCTGTCGGTAAAGTAATGCTGAACTTCTTGTCGGTAAAGTAATGCTGAACTTCTTGTCGGTAGAGTAATGTTGAACTTCTTGTCGGTAAAGTAATGCTGAACTTCCTGTCGGTAAAGTAATGATGAACTTCTTGTCGGTAGAGTAATGCTGAACTTCCTGTCGGTAGAGTAATGCTGAACTTCCTGTCGATAGAATAATGTTGAACATCCTGTCGGTAGAGTAATGCTGAACTTCCTGTCGGTAGAGTAATGCTGAACTTCCTGTCGATAGAATAATGTTGAACTTCCTGTCGGTAGAGTAATGCTGAACTTCCTATCGATAGAGTAATGCTGAACTTCCTGTCGATAGAATAATGTTGAACTTCCTGTCGGTAGAGTAATGCTGAACTTCCTGTCGATAGAATAATGTTGAACTTCCTGTCGGTAGAGTAATGCTGAACTTCCTGTCGGTAGAGTAATGCTGAACTTCCTGTCGATAGAATAATGTTGAACGTCCTATCGGTAGAGTAATGCTGAACTTCCTGTCGGTAAAGTAATGCTGAACTTCTTGTCGGTAGAGTAATGCTGAACTTCCTGTCGTTCGAGTAATGCTGAACTTCCTGTAAGCTCCAATGAAGGTGGAGAGTACACCGTAGACTGATATCACGTACCATACTTAAATACGATCTATCAAAAGTTAAAAAAATAATAAACAAGGGCTATATGTTTTATATATGAATTAAAAAATTTAACACGACATGCCATTAAAATCTGACAGGATAAACTTATAGGGAAAATAGGATTTAATTGATACCAAAGGACAATCAGGCGGAAAACACCAGTCATATTGGTGTCATTGTAAATATTTCGTGGTTTAACATCAGCGAGTATATTTTGGTCTCATTGTAAATATTTCTTGGTTTAACATCAGCGAGTATCTTTTAGTCTCATTGTAAATATTTCTTTGGGTTTAACATCCTCGAGTATATTTTGGTTTCATTGTAAATATTTCTCTGGGTTTAACATCCTCGAATATATTTTGGTCTCATTGTAAATATTTCTGGGTTTAACATCCTCGAATATATTTTGGTCTCATTGTAAATATTTCTGGGTTTAACATCAGCCAGTATATGTATTTTATATGAAGCTTCAGGTAACTACTGATCTTTCAGAGATGGATCATCTGGGATTATCGCAGTTTCTCTGACCAAGTGGACATTGAAACCCAACCGAACCTAATATTTTAAGATGTAAACAGATATTGGCAAGTTTCAATCCACAAGACGTGTTGGTAAAACCAATAATCCTGAAGCGGTTTCAGACTTTTTTCTTTTGTTTAATATATGCAGTAGTTAGTCAAGCAAACAAAAACAAAAAAGATAAATAAAAACTAAGAAAAGAACAAAAATGTGAGTACGCGGAAACATTTTTCAAGTAACACATGATGGTTGATTCAAACATCATAAAGACTATTGCCATTTTTTCTCATTATTCTGTAATATTCGCAGGGAGCCGAGACGAATATAGAATTATCTTTTAATATTAAACATTGAAGGGAGGGTTGAGCAAACATCAAACCTTATCTACAGCATGGGAAAAGGAATGATGTGGAATGCCGGACAAGACCTGCACGAGATAGAAAATGCTGGAGAGTGTCATGTTTTAACGTGGATGACAGGACAACAACGTGACAATGCTATAGAGTGGCACGTTTTACCGTGGACGACGGGACAACAACGTGGCAATGCTGGAGAGTGGCACGTTTTACCGTGGACGACAGGACAACAACGTGGCAATGTTGGAGAGTGGCACGTTTTACCGTGGATGATGAGACAACAGCGTGGCAATGCTGGAGAGTGGCACGTTTTACCGTGGACGACGGAACAACAACGTGGCAATGCTGGAGAGTGGCACGTTTTACCGTGGACGACGGAACAACAACGTGGCAATGCTGGAGAGTGGCACGTTTTACCGTGGATGATGAGACAACAGCGTGACAATGCTGGAGAGTGGCACGTTTTACCGTGGACAACGGGACAACAACGTGGCAATGCTGGAGAGTGGCACGTTTTACCGTGGACGACGGGACAACAACGTGGCAATGCTGGAGAGTGGCACGTTTTATCGTGGACGACGGGACAACAACGTGGCAATGCTGGAGAGTGGCACGTTATACATCACATCACATAGAAACCGGACATGTCCACACTGTGACACAATATCATTATTCTATTTATTTTCTCCAATATGAAGAGAGTAATATACGTAAACAAAATGCATAAATGTCATTTCCAAACACAACACCAAGGCTATTTTAATTTGTATTTACAATGAAATATATACCAAATAATACGCATTGTGGTATTATATTGTCAAAATAGCAGTATTTTTACAAAATGCATCTTTCTATGAAAAATGAGTCTTAAAAACACTGACATGTCCTGAACAGATGAAACAGCTGTATAATGCAGTTTAATTCACTAGCTGTCAACACTGTTTCTAATTCTATATTTGTATTTAAAGGCGCTCTTCTTCATGTCATTTGTACACAGCAGGCGGACGGTAGTCCCGCAGGTTTGCATATCACGTTTAAATTCAACCGATTAAGAGTATACATTACGTTCTGTTCAAATCATTCAACATTGAAAAGTTGTAGGTTTACAAAGCATATTGAAGTTTGAAGTTAAGGATACATCTCATCTATCTTTACCAACTTGCCGATGCAATTATTCAATAAAACTAGGTCAAAATATCAGCAAAAGAAAGGTGTATAAGGAGATTTCTTTAAAAGGTTTACCTTATATCTACCTTATTTCCCGCTCGCTCTTACCAACATTCGACATCTGTCACGTAGATTGTGATATCAACAATTGTAGCAAAACCTGGAAACCGAATCAATTACAGAAAGGAAATATGACAAATGTGGAAGCACAATTGAAGCTAAAGGAAACAGAAAGTTCAAACTTTGTAAAAACCGGACGTGTCGCGCTAATAACACAACTCCGTGACATTATTTTGACGTATTGTGTTACTATTCTATGTGGATATTACATGTGTTGGTTTATTTTGTATTAATTTTACGGTTCATTGGCAATTACAGTCATTTAAGACGAAACACCGCCAAAAAATGACGCTCACAAAAGAAAATACAATGAACGTTAAACACAAACCAAAAAGTAAAATTCTCAAAACTTCACAGCAAATATCAGATGAAAAGAATATCATATCTTGGTATAATGAAAACAAGTTTACGTTTGAAGACAGAGCAAGCAATGATAATATGTTTGGTGGTAAAAGGTTGTTGACGTGACAGGCAACAAGGAGAATCACAGCAACACGATAAAACAACTTCCTCTCGGCGGTATACTAGTAGCACATGTTCCTACATACATGTAAAAACGGAGGAAGAAAATACATACTTCAGTCCTCCCTGTGTAAACATCCATTTCGTTATGTTATTGTAAAATTTCAACATGTACTATACACTTAATTTGTATTGGCTATTTATATTTAATAGAATGATTGTGTGTTTGTTTCATTCTCATTCCCAATCTGTCTACTAAATGTTTAATATACATATCTGATGATAAAATTTCTAGAGCCCTGTTCACAAATGTACACATCTATCCTCACATATGATAATTTCCGTCATAATCCTGGCCTCTTGTCACATATAAGTGTTATCCATAACTATCCGTATTTAGAATAAGCATCCTCCGTATACATCTGGGCCTTTGTTCATATCTATACACTCCGTATATCTGACCACTTTCTTCTGTATCCAGGTCCCTAATAACAGTATACAACAGGATCTTTTTAACACATTTTTTTTCAATTCAGTAAACTCAGTATCCGGTATCAATATGATATCGGAGCATAATCGTGGCCAAGTTCCTGCCAACTTTGCTCAAGTCCCTCCATTTCCCTTTCTTTGTCAGGTATGCCTTTATGACATATCAAATATGACAGCCCCTGTGTCCAGCTGTGTTAATGCATTGTCCATACCTAGAACGCACGTGATGCTTGGTGTAGAGCCCTTTATACTGATGCTTCTGCAGTCATCGTTCCTGGAGAAAAGATAAAATGAAAAAAACTTTACTGTTACAAAATATATTATCCATACAGCAAAATCACAACAATGCATGCCACACATGATATGGAAAAACAAATTCCTTAATAAAACGAGTAATTTTAAACATCATTGGCTGGTTTTTTTTTTTTGTAATAAACAAGTTGATATACGAAATAAAATTGCTCTGTATATTCATTGAATTGTAGAACTACATTGCTGTGCGGAGTAATTATTTTGACGAGCGTCATCACACACAGTTTAGCAAAACGTCAACTTTGATTGGATAGGCAAACTAAGTGTTTAAGATTCGATAGTCTTAATTTACAGTAAGTGTTGCAGGAAAAAAAGAATACATGCTCAGTGTCGTACAATATATGCTGCATTTTGACTCGGGAGAGAAAGACGAAAGAAACTCGCCAAGTGCTCGCCACTTCTGCCTTTCTTCATCAACGCCAAGGGCTCAACACTTCTGTCTTCATCCTCGCCAAGATTTCACCATTTCTGTCTTTCTTCACCCTCGCCAAGGTTTCGCTACTTCTGCCTTTCTTCACCCTCGCCAAGATTTCACCTTTTCTGTCTTTCTTCAACCTCGCCAAGGTTTCGCTACTTCTGTCTTTCTTCAACCTCGCCAAGGTTTTGCCACTTCTGTCTTTCTTCACCCTCGCCAAGATTTCACCTTTTCTGTCTTTCTTCAACCTCGCCAAGGTTTCGCTACTTCTGTCTTTCTTCAACCTCGCCAAGGTTTCGCCACTTCTGTCTTTCTTCACCCTCGCCAAGATTTCACCATTTCTGTCTACTAACTACATATCACCTCCTTGTGTACTTAAATATAAGGATACATCTTTATGTAGTGTCTGGATTGTGTATGACTCTCTTGTGATACAGTACATGACACCCCCTGGACAATAGTTCCTGTATATACAGATATATACAGAATATATCTCAGAACAGAAATGTTTTCACAATGAATATTTCTTACTTGTAGCAGAGTAACGCGCATTCTGAAGAGGAAGTGGCGACGATAGTTTCTAAGGGCGACTGGAAGGTCTCGTCAACACTTGACCTCGTGAACATCAAGCAATTTTCTCCGGAAAACAATTGTGCTGCAGAAACAAATTGTTCCTGATTTCATTAATTCCAATATCTAGCTACCACATTTACATTACCGTATCCTATTTTTTATGAGATCATGAGGCGTCGACGACGAAAAGCAAAATTATTTATGGTAAAAGTATTACTGTTTTTAAAATACTGATAATTCTTAAAACAATTTTTGAAATAATACTCGAAACAAAGTTGAGGACTTTGAAATATGACATTACCTTTATACGTTCATAAAATATTCAATATGAACACTGATCGCAAAATTCCTTGTTTCTGTCAGAGATTGCTGATGTTAAAATGTTATCGTTTTTGTGAAAGTTTTCGTGAATAAAACAAAAATATCATAACGTGTTTCCACTCTGACTGTTATCATATACTAAACGGAGACTTTAAAGTAAGTAGTTTGTAATTTTGTCTGTTAGCACGCATCCCTGAGATTACCTGAGGGCTGAGATGTTGTTGGTAACGTAGGTATGGTTGCTGATGGTGTTGTCGATGCTGTTGATGGGAATGTCGTTGTCGTCGACGTCATTATCGTTGTTATTGACGGTGTCGTCGAAGTTGTTGGTGGTGTCGTCGAAGTTGTTGTTGGTGTCGTCGAAGTTGTTGTTGGTGTCGTCGTTGTTGTCAAAGTTGTTTGCGGTGTCGTTGTTGGTGTAGTCGTTGATGGCGAAGTTGTTTGCGGTGTTGTTGTTGGCGTCGTCATTGATGGCGAAGTTGTTTGCGGTGTTGTTGTTGGTGTCGTTGATGGCGAAGTTGTTTGCGATGTTGTTGTTGGTGTCGTCATTGTTGTCAAAGTAGTTTGCGGTGTTGTTGTTGGTGTCGTCGTTGTTGTCAAAGTAGTTTGCGGTGTTGTTGTTGTTGGTGTCGTCATTGTTGTCAAAGTTGTTTGCGGTGTTGTTGTTGGTGTCGTCGTTGTTGTCAAAGTAGTTTGCGGTGTCGTTGTTGGTGTCGTCGTTGATGGCGAAGTTGTTTGCGGTGTTGTTGTTGGCGTCGTCGTTGTTGTCAAAGTTGTTCGCGGTATTGTTGTTGGTGTCGTCGTTGTTGTCAAAGTTGTTTGCGGTGTTGTTGTTGGTGTCGTTGTTGTTGTCAAAGTTGTCTGCGGTGTTGTTGGTGGTGTCGTCGTTGATGGCGAAGTTGTTGGCGATGTCGCTTCCGTTGTTGTCATTGTTGTCGGCATCGTTGTCGTTGTTGTCGGCATAGTTGTCATCGTGGCTGTTGTTGTTGCAAAAAAATCCATAGTGTGTTCACCTGTCAATGAACGATGATATCACAATATTATACATAAAAATGAATTTTGAAACATACAAACTACTTCTACTATAAATACTGTTTGGTTTGACCAGAATATCTGTAACAGAGATACTGTACATCTAGAGGAAAGAGTGCATCGTGCACGGTTTTGGTCGAAGGTATTATATAAAACCGTGGTCAGTGCTTTACTCTTTTTGTTAATGGTTAAATTCTATAACTGTCGAGCACATGCAACATATCACAAAAGTTATTGTATAATGTTGGACAGTTTTTTTAGCTTATATAAGTAACATACCTTTTTGTAAATACATACAAATATGAAATATACCAATACGGACCCGTTTCATTCTATCACGTGGTCCCTCCGACAGTGAATGTGAATTTACACCAATCTCAAGTATTGAAATGAATAAAATATTTATCGATTGTTTAATTTTTTAGGCCTCAGTGTCAGAGAGCCTCAGAAATAATAAAACATTCAACAGCATGGTTTTGTTAACCTAGCACACATTACGAACAAGGAAATGTTTATTTACATTACATTGTGGGATTATCACTGTGTATTTTTAGCAAATGTTGGCTATTTCAGTGTTCGATATTTAAATACTGGACATTTTTCTGAACATTTGAATACTGAATATTTATGGGCAACAATTGCGTCTAGAAAATGTAAAATGGGGAAAACAAAAACGTAACAATGATACGGAATATACGTTGAATGTTGCTGCCAATTACACGTCTACATGTACGAACCTTTGAGTTAAATATATACCTAGCCACTGTGAGCAGAATATGTAACAAAGAAAAGGGATTCTTTCAAGCCGACTAGCAAAGCGACATCATGTACTTATATATATATGTGTGTATGTATAATATATATTAATGTATCTATTTTTGAGAAGTTTTGGGGGGGTTGTTGTGTTACAACTCTTTTATCATTACCGTTATCACATGTACAAATACAATCACCACGTGACTTATTTATGTCATCACAATAGTATAATTATACAAGTGTCTTACAATATCTATGACACAGGGGTAAGACATGTCACAACAGGCCAGTTATGTAATAAATGAAGCACAGTCGAACCTTGTTATATCGGTCTCGACGAGACCGTGGGGATACTTTGAGATAACGGAGTATTCGATTCAAGTGAATTCGAATGTTTTGTGTCGAGTAAGGCAGTGACCAAAACATGCATAGAATTAAACGAGGTCTTCGAGTGATTCGAGTTCGAGATAACGAGGTTTGACTGTATTGCTATAATTTTTGTCATTATTAATATGTCATAAATCTTAAATCTTAAAATCATAATGAGACTCGTGTCTAACCATAGTCGGAAGCCATGAAATTAGGATCACATAGGTTGTAGATGCTCTTTTGTGTGCCTCCAATGAGTGAGGTGTTATAGAACTGAACACAAGAAATCTCTCCGTTAAATGGACTGGTTCCATCTCGAGCAGCTCCAAGTCTGACGGTTCCTTCACTATCCAAGAATGGGTTGGATCTTCCCAGACCAATTGTTTCTGATTTCACTTTATTGGAAGATTCAAAATAGAAAATGTCAAACTGATCATCGTCATCCCACAAAGTGTTAAAATTCATTCCCACTAGATACCAAGTGTCTGATTCCAGCTCGAATTCACCGGTAATTGTATATTTTTGGCCAACTTCGTCATAGAATTCAGCTCTCAATGTTCCGTCAGTTCTAAGTATAAGTTGTAATCCTGCAGTGCCGTCTCGTCCGAAGTATTGAAGTAAAACAGCTTCGGGTGCACCAGAAGGGAATTTAACATAAAACGCCCAGCACATTGCATCATGTCCATTCAGCTCTCCATCCATGTTATTTAGTTCTACGTACGAGTCTGAGGTCCCTCCAAACACAAAGGAATCCAAAGTTCCACTATTTGTTGTAGGCCCTGTACCAAGTGTTACGCTATGAAGGACAGCGTACCTGAGATATAAAAAATATCAGTACTAAGAATATTTTATCTAATTTCTAGTGCTTAAAATAAATACAATAGATTATTTGACATTGGCGCAAAACAACCATGGAGAGGGACATTTTGTGTGTCCGATATCCGTCACTTCAGATCACTATGCCATATCTAGTAAAATCATTACAAATTTGGTACAGCTTAATCCCGTATTATCATAACACTAAGCTTCTCTCCACTTCGTGCCCGAAAAGAAAACTCAAACCCGCAAATACTCATTTGCCGTACTAGCCCGTCACGAATTAGTGCAGTAGGCGTTTAATAATACATGGTGTAGAAAATACATTGTACGTACGAATCTCACTCCGACAGACGTGACGCAAACGTCCCTAACGCACACACTCCTCACCCACGAGAGCGTCCTAGACACTCCATACTCACCTCCCATCACAGAATGTATCGCGCGCCCAGGAAAAACCGGAGATAATCCCCGGAAACCTGTGTCCAACGGGGCTGGAATCGATTACCTCCAATTGCAATACGTTCTCCGGGCCGACACAAGGACCGGTGTCGAAAAAAAAAAAAAATAAAAACAATCGTTCTACCGGAGCGCCACTAACACAATATCAGCCAATCACACTCCCACTAAGCATACCCAGACTTCCAGATTTCCTCGCCAGGAATGCAAGCATAAAATAGCAAGACTAGAAAACGGAGCAAACCAACTACATATAATAATACTGATAGGCACACTAACTAACTAAATTAACTGGACTGCACTGCTAGACGGAGAGCTAGAGAATGACTATTCACCCGCGCACCCACCCTTACCTGGGCATACGCACGTGCTCTACGTGCCTGAGAAGACGAACTATTCCCGCTATACTACCGAAACGCGGGAATATTTAAGTCTTCTCTCCACTTCGTGCCCGAAAAGAAAACTCAAACCCGCAAATACTCATTTGCCGTACTAGCCCGTCACGAATTAGAGAATTAACAAAGAAAGGGCAAGGGGGTTGTGGTTGGGGAATACCTAACCGCCTTTGAATAATTGATCAAATAACCATATTAATTACAAACCTAACTTCTGTGTTACCAGTAAACGAGACTCCAAAGAGTCAGCGACATAACCATCCTTGCTAGATTCGCCTTTCCAGCGGCCATGCCTCCTGAAACATCGATCGTTCACTCCGTTGTTGGCGGCCACTGTGGCGCCCCCTGCTCTGAGCGAGTGTAAACCAAAATTTGTATCATTGGAAACTAGTTTCAACCTTTTCATGACAGCTTGCCTAGCCCCTGTGTAACTAAGTGGCTTATTTTTGTTAATAAGCTTACAACCCTGACCGGAACGATAAACTTGCTTAAACAAAAAATGATCCGAACTTAAGTCAATTTTTGATAACTCAACATACCTTGATAACATGGTGTACGGACAAGCTACAGTCGAACCTTTACTGATGACCACTTGACTACCAAAGCGATATTTGTCTGTTTTACTTTTCCTGATATTGAGCGTTAAATGCCCCTCGAAAAACTGAACATCAGAGCAACGCAAACTACTGAGCTCGTTAAAACGTAAAAAACCGGAAAACCCTAACAAAATCATGGCAAGATCTCTCACTACCAACAAGTCATTCTCATTCAAAAACATTCCACACAAATTGATCAAAATGTCAGTCGTGACCGGTTCCTTTTTGCAAACAGGATTTTTAGCCTCTCGTTTGGAAAATTCAATTAAGTTCTGTACGAATGAGTTTGTTGTAGGGTCGATGTGTCCGTTAAGATTGTGCACCCATTTGATAGCATATACTGCAGACGACACCACTGCGTAAGTCCCTCCCTTTTCCAATAAAGAATTTAAATATAATGCCACGTGTATGGGATTTGCCGGGATAGACGAAAAACCATGTCCGGAAATGAAATGTTCCCATTTCGCGAAAGCTCCATAGTACTTGGTGCCTGTGTTGACACTCCTGCTTAGTAAAAGTCTGCCAGCCATACCCTCGGTCAGAGCGTGCAGATCGGAACCCTCCGTTACCCCAGAAGCTTTGACGGCATCGCTGATCGACTTCCTCAGTCCTATGCCTGTAACAATAAACACAGTAAAACAATGCTCAGTATGGTATGAACATGTGTAAGTTTTCAATGTCTAAAGTCTAACCGGAGGGCCAACATGTCGAAACCCAAAATACTGGCTCCGAAACATCCATTGTTCCCCCTCCCCCTCAGTGTGACTTTTCTACTGGGCAGTATACGATAATCTACTATGAAAGAATCGAAAGCCCCATCCTTAGGACACAATAAGTGCCAGTATGCCGCGCTCCTCCAATGGGGGACAATTATGGTCCCATAAGCTCCTTCGTCCCTCATTTTGCTAACCACACCGCAAACGAGTCTAGGGGGAGGTACTAACCAGTTGTTGACTCCCTGCCATCTTACCGTGAAAGCATCGACTGCCTCTGTACCCGGGCACCACCACTTGGAATTAAAACGCACACATTTGCTGTTATAATCTGTCGCGAACCGGTCGATTTGATGTGGACCCCATAATAACTGACACTCCTCAAAAACCCATGACTGCACCGACCAATCGTCACAGTCTTTACATCTACTCAAGTAATCGGCGGTACTGTTACTAATCCTTGGTAGCCACTGTGTACTAACGCCCGTGTTATTATAATCCAACACCTCGTTAATCTCACGTGCGACCCTCTGTAGGTCTGGCTTCCTGCTACCAGTTTTCACTATGGAACAAACGTTTCTGTTATCTGTTAACAGTTTTACCTGCTTACCTTTGACCATATCGACCTTAGCCAACAACACCCTTTTGACTGCTTCTAACTCTCTCCAAGTTGAGCTATACCTTTTCTCCCGTTCATCCCATGTTCCCAACGCGACATGTTTATCCATGTGGTAAAGATCCCTTACTGTAGGAAGAGAGCGATCCAAAACGCTTACCTCGCTGCCCTGCAGACCAATCACGTCACTCACTGGGCCACCTACTAGTCCTCCCGTGGG